TTCCTTCTGCGTGAGACTAATGGGGGCTTTTCAGAAAAATCTGGAACTTTCATATCTCTGTACCCTGATCATTTAATGTCTCAACTTCTCGGCGCACAAAGGCTTTGTACACCACACTACACTCTTGTTTCATTATTCCGCAGCCTTGTTGCCCTATGGTCTACCTCATGCTGGGAAGGTTAAATGTTAGAGTGCCAAGCCAGACTGCAAGCATGGTGGGACACTGATGGGAAACAGATGCCCTGGGGATTCAGCCCCTCCTTCCTCTAGGGCTACATCATTTTCATTTTTTGAAATACAGTGAGGCTTGGCGTCGCTCTCAACGGCAGCTGTGACTTCCAAAGACTATCTCAGTCCACCCTATCGCTTCAGGATAAAGCAAAGCAGGCAGAAGTTTCTCGGTCAGACAGGCGCTGCCTTTATCTTTTTATTTTCTTATTGCTGCGCTATAGGCTTTTGTCCCCCTCAAAAGCTGTTTTAAATACATATTCCCGTTAAAGTGTTGTTAGTAATGCAACTTTATCACAATTTAATTCCAGCGGGAGAAGCTCCTGATGTTCTCACGATTCTTTTGAACATCTTTACATAGCGATAAAGACAAAAGACCACCCCAGGAAAGAAGAAACTAATGGCTTTTCCTTACAGTCTCGTACATATTTGCGTTTACACATCAGAAAGAAGTTCGAAACAGCAAAATTCGCCAAATTCACAAAATCCACACCTAAGAAATCAGTTTAAGACGTTACTATAAAGCAATTCAAAATTCCAGGACTGTGCACCGAGAGCCAGACCGTCATCTGGTTCAAATCTGCAGCGCTTCCCTGTGTGCAACGGACCTGCACCAGCTCGCAACAGCTAAAGTATCTGGAACTTAGTCTGAGGCTTTCAATTCATTCATTTTTTATTTTGTTGAGCACTTATCTTAGCTAAACAGTCGTGCTTGTCAGGATACTCTGCTGAAGTTTTGCATGGGCTGCGTTCATAACAGCATTTCTAAGGCCATATCCGTGACCGCGTGCAGCCCCACCGGCGGTTACCACCTTTGCACCAGGCTACAAAACAACGGCTGCTTTCGAGACACGTTGTTAGCACCACGGGCACCACCATCCCATTTGGTAACTCTAGCAATAACCCCATCAGAAAGATCAAGAAAAAGTAAATATTCTCTCCCTTGCCAGCCAGAAGCGAGGCACCCAGGTGTGAACGCGAGCCTTGGTTTTGCCGAGGTCGTGATCTCTTTGGGGACAGACAGGAGACAGGAATCTCAGGTGCTGCCTTCACTTAAAAGTTCATTTCAGCGATAGATCTTAGGCAGACAGAAAAACATATCCTCAGTGCGTTCACTGTTTAAAAAGTCCCAGCTTAAAACTACCCAGGAACACACTTTTCCCATTAGATCTAAATTAATAGATAGAAACAGTTGCAGTCTAGTGGGAAAATATTCATCAAAATGCACATCATCTGCACATCATCTGCAATCTGCATTATCTACCCAACAAGCAGCAAGAACTCTCCCTGAATCCCTGCAGTCTGTCAAGTAAACAGTTAAAGGCTCTTTGTTTTCAAAAGAGAGATTGATTCATCAGATCAAATTTATTACCTGGAATCCTCATCCAAAAGTACGGTAAATTAAATTGCTATTTCTCCCTTTTCCCTCCCAGCACCTCAGCTAAATTCATTGTTAAATGCCAGAAAAACTGTAATACACATTTTAGATAAAAAGCCAGCAATACTTCATCCCAAAGTAAGAATTTTCGTATTAAAACCACTGGAAACCACAAAGTTCCGACATTTTCTTATGCTCTTGTAAATTAAAATCAAATGTATTTAAAAGAATTGGCACAAATAAATCACTCCCAGGTTTGTGAGTTTGTATCCCAAGTTTCAGGTCTGAAAGAATTTTTAGAGCCAGATTGTGAATAAGGTTGGATAAAGTTATTTGGATCCAACAACAGCTACTTGAACCAGTGCCTAAAACTTCAGCTGAACCTTTAGGGAAGTTCAAGAAGTTTGGATAGATAGTCTGAAAAATATTTTTCATCACTGAACACTTCTTAACTCCTTTTTCTGGCTGGAGCAGCGTAGGAAATACCGTTGTTAATCTATTTCTGGCCAAAATGAAAACAGGAAGTAACAGGCCTCTGGTGAGAGAGTTTGATCTCATGAGACATCGAGATATTTTTAAGACCCAAGAGGCTTGGATGGGCACCAGAGCTTCTGGGTGCCCGTACGAACAGGTATTTTGAGGTCCAGCTACCAGCAGTTACACGTCCTGCAGGACACATCCTGCCTTTTAACAGCACTGTGACATTCAAACGTCTTGCATCACCTGTATATCATTAAAGACAGGAACTATTATCCTGAAAGGAGTAAGGAAACCGTACACTTACCAGTGTAGACGAATCGGCCGGGAGCACCTTTGCAGAACTGTTTGGATTTGTAGGAGAGAGTTACTTCAACAACTCCTGGAATGTGCCG